CATTATTCCATTTTTGTGTGCTTTATTTATGGATTAGAAGAAAATAACTCAAAATCAGAAGTTATCTTTGCCGTCTGCCGTCTGCCGTCTGCCGTTAGCGCCATGCTTAACCTCCCTATTATATGGGTTTAAATGGGCACTGACGCATGGGTAAGTCTCTACAGTTACTATATGTTAAAAAGGCAAAATTTTGACCCAGTATTGTCTAAGATCTCGCAAACGACCAGCCCTCCGTAAGCGCTTACGGGAGGTTCGACTGTAATATCGCTTACCATTATGATTATCGATGGCTAACCGTAAACAGGCTAACCTGAGCGTTATTCAGGCTAACAGTTGAGGCTAACCGGAGCGCTAATGTAGTCTGCATGCAGTTTGTAAATGTAGCTAAATGTCACACACCGCACTGACTAACACGTCACCATTAACAGGCGTGACATGTTTCATTAAAATGTAAATTTACACCAGTACCCTCATGAATGATCCCTTTCTACAAAATAAACGTTTTAAACGGTACATGTTAATTCGCCAAACGTTGAAACAACTTCGCAGAACACTACTTCATAATTCTAAGGGGGTGTTTACACGCTTTCACAGCTGTGCGAGTGTATATGTTGCTCAACATTTTGTCTACATGGGTCTACATGATTTAAACCACTATGGATCGTGGACATGATGGTTTCACGAAACTTCCCATTCAGAGTCGGATATTTAACAATTATTCCATGAAACCGCGTTGGATATGAAGTGATAAATAACCAACGAGCGCGTAGCGCGAGTTGGTTATGATCACTTCATATCCAACAAGGTCGAATGGAATAATTGTTTTAGTATATTCTTAATCGGGTTTTTGCCGCCGATTTTTAWTTCAACAATTTTACAGAGCGGAAAATTTTTAAACTTGGCGCACTGTTTTCCATATAAGGTAAAACTCCGACTAATGGCTCATAGTCGGAGTTTTTGAGCCAATCAGAGAGCTAGAAATGCAATAGTCGGAGCTGAGAATATACTAAAGTAAAATATAGCCGCGAGATCTTCATTCCGATACCAAAATTTTTCTATATCCCGTGAAGTCCCGTAAGCAAAGCTTACCTTGGCTTTTGATGGCAGGGAGGTCGTGTCGAGACCCCTTTCAATTCCCACTATTTTTCCGTTCTTCACGATGATGGATCCCGACGAAATACAATCTGGAAGCAATATTCTCGTGCCTTTTATGATCAAGAATTCTTCGGCGTCTGCCATATTTTCGAGTTGGAGCAATGGCGGAGTTTTCTCCAATGACAATAAAATTCCCTTTCTGTCACGATGAAAAGTCACGGAAAATAAACTAACTCAAGGCTTAAAGAAACTAACTCATGGCAAGACAAAAACATCTAACGGCAACACAAAACTCATCCTCACGGTAGAAAAAAAAAATTACTTTACGGCGAAAGCAAATCAACTCACAGCAAAACTGCACGCTCCTCGCTCGCTCACGGCAACGAGCAGGTCATGCAATCAGCTGTTGGTCAGCGGTTGTCATTCTAAACGCACCCCTCCCACCCCGTCAGGAGGGAGAGGTGAACACGTCAGATTTGACTGACCCTATGATCATGGCCATTATGACGACACGGCGAAAGAAGCGCGCAAATGCTCAAAATTCTCGAAAATGGCGTCATCGCCTCTCGCTGATACAACTTTTTGAGGCAGATTTCTCCAATCATTCCAGCTTCAAATGGTATTGTATTTNCATAGTCGGAGTTTTTG